CCCCCCCCCCCCCCCCCAAATCACCCCGATTTTCAATTTGTAGGCCTAAATGTCTTGAATTTTTTTCCCACAGACCCAACGCAAAATGTCCGGCGACTACTGCTACGAAGTCGAACAAATTTTGAAAAGAAACGCGAGAGCACCAGGGCACACGAGAGACACAGGGCCAGTCGGAAGGCATCGCAGGACTCGTTGATTCTCGCACAGGGCGGCAGTAGCTCAAAACATACCTTTCGCGCGTCTACCTTCAGAGGCCTCCTTTGAAATCAAGATAAATGTCACACTATTCTAAATTCAAGTCAAAAGAGCCAAAACGGCAGGCGCTCAAACAAACTCTGTGTTGCCAGGAACCTGGTGCATTGGACTAATTACACAAGAGGACATCCTATGGCAGAGGGGGGTGCGTGTTGACGCGCTCAAATCTGCTTCTGTGGTGTTGATATCGAGCGTCGTTAGGCTACAATCTCCGCGAATCTCCGCAAGTTGGACCGACACCGCGTGTCTTCTACTGATTGTGCTCGCCGCCACTGACCCCAATCTCCTGAACTGTGGAGTACCGCAGTAGGTAATGCCATTAGCTACTGCTGACAACCTCCGTTCAGGGGTTAACAATCCGTGGCGGGGAGCACGGTTGTGACAAATGTTGGATGCCGCTTGGTTCCTGCGCAGATATCGGACTGTGTTCTGAGGCTGCCGCGACCTTTGATGTTTCAGCTACAGTTTCAAACCTGAACGTGCCAGCACGCACGACGGCGTGGTGTTGAGAACGAGAGCCCGCCTTTGTGGTGCAACAATGTACTTACAGATAAAAACAGGGCCCAAAACGCGGCAGCTGCAAGATAAGAACTCACGAAGGGGTACAGGTGCTACGCCACGTCACCGGGGGTTTCAGATCAACGGCGAGGAGGACTGAGAGGCTCCTCCTTTGAAATCGTGCTGTTGCGGAGGAGGTTAGGTACCTAGCTTTGTCGCTTACGGCGTCCCTCTCGTCGCTTGACATTGCGTGCGATTCGCGCCACGCTACGTACCTGCTGTGTGCATGCCGGGAACCATGTATTTACCTCTTAAGATATGGAAGGAGCTCGACGAACTGTTACGTGAGAACGAGGTATCATTTGACCGACACTTCGGGCCATTAAAGTAGACGAGTAGACGCCGAACGTGACCCTTGTGGACCCCAATAGCGCTTCAATGTTGGTCATGATGCGTAATTCTTTAGGTGAAACTGCTGTAACGCGTCTGTATTTCTACCCAACTGTTCGCGGAAGCTGCGGTGCAGAGGTAACAGTTGATCGACGGTATTGTTTCTAGATACAGTCGTCCCCGCTTATAAGTGCGCCGGGGGGGTCGCAGTGTCTCCTCCTAAAAAATCCAGGAAACGCCTGAATATCTCAGTTTTCCGAAGTCTACACTCCAGTACGAAACTACCATCATCGCAAATGAACCGTCGCAGCGGTCTCTTGTGTATGTTGGTCGTGCCTGAGATTGTAGCCCTTGTAATACCCTGAAGACTAGCGGTCCACGATTTTCTAAACGATCCTCCTATCATCGAGATCGGTGAGCTACAAGCAGAGTTTTCGAAACTGCTGTGCGGTCCGATTTTGAAACGCTTCAAGCACCTTTGCTTGTGGCTAGGCGTACCTATTCATGACCCCAGGCATTCAAATCGACTATGGCGACGAGTAGGACATGTGAGGGATAAGCTGCGCTTCTGTTCGCGGCCCCACACTCACGGAGGCGCCGATTCGCCGTTACTCTGTGCTTGAAGCGTTTCAAAGTCGGACCGCACAGCAGCTTTGTCAAATCCTGCGTGTAGGTCACCGATCTCGATGATAAAAGGGTTGTTTGGACCATCGCGGACCGATAGTCTGCGTGGACCGCTAGTCTGCAGTGTATCACAAGGGCTACAACCTCAGGCACTAACATTGTACACAAGCGACCGCTGCGGACGATTAATTTACGATGATAGTTTCGTACTGGAGTTAAGAGTTTGAAAACTGAGATATTTAGGCGTTTCCTGGGTTTTTCAAAGAAGAAACTGCGATCTCCCTCGTGCCCTTAAGACACTCGGCTTAAGGAAACTCCCCGGGTTATAGACGCAATGTTTTCAGAAACGTGATGGAAAACATGGTGGGGGGTATCATTTATTCTCCACGGCCCACCAAACAAAAATCAAGGCATGCCGAAGCGGCAACAAAATTGTGCTCTGTGAGGTCTGTCTGTGCAGCGTGTGTGTGGGTATGCGAGATTCCTTTCCAGCGAGAAGGAAGACAACGGCGGTAGGTCTGAGTCGTGCATTACATCGGCGATCACAGAGGCCGAGATGCACTCTATTCCCTCTTACTGAACAGCTTCGGTCGGTCTTATTTGTACAAGGGGGAGAAAAGGGGAGGGGATGGAAGGGAAGGGAAGGGATGGAAAATGCGTGAAAACTCGGGGTACAGAACCCGCACACATGAAACAATGTCTGGGGACTTGGCCGTTTTCTTGGGCCAAAATCAGAGGTTCAACATTGACCCGACCTTTACGTGTCTGAGCTGCCGGCGGCCCCGTCCTTTACTACCTACTACTTCTGATCCTCAAGTCAAGCGTGGAGGGGCGAGGTGAAATGCAAGCCACGATTCGCGATTTCTTGTGGAATTTTTTTTTGTGTGTGTCCTTGATGTGTACTACTGGAATGCCGCTCAGAGGAACCAAAGTGGTGTGATCATAGCGTACCATCGTCGTCCAGGCTGTTGATATGTCATCATATTTGAGCTGTAGTCAATTTGAGCTGTAGCCAATGGGAACAAATCTCGGAAATTGTTCACCGAATTTTTCGTTAAAATGCAGTGATCGTTGTTGTCAAGGCGCATCTTTCGACGAGTAGGACGCCTCCATTGACGCCGAAGATGGTGCGATGCTGTCTCACCGCCTACTATACACTAGAGTAAACGAAAACGAGGTGTGTCTTTTCAAGCGGGGTCGACTGTACTGTATGTTATGAACACGCTCTGCTCTCAAGTAGGTTGAATCCACCGAGAGCAAAAACCGGTGTTCTCTTCATGGGACCCTCGGGGTAGAAATACGAACAAGAACCCTGTAAATCATAGGCGGATGCCTGCTCGAAATCGAAATAAGAACTTTGAAAATATGAACAGGTGCTCAATTTGAGGCAGTCAAAAAGCATTGAGCCTCGGCCAAAACCAGCGGTTCTCTAGAGCGGGCGCAATCTGGATCCTATCAACTCATGTCTGCGGTTTGAACGTACAGCAGTAGTTGCGGAACGCTCGTCACGAAATTCATCCGAGCGTCAACCGTACGTCGAGCCTAGGCAGCAGTGAAAACCGCATGTTGCTCGAGAGCACGTTCTGAAGTTTCGTGTTAGGACTGTGCCCCGCCCAGCCTTTGGTTGACGTCATCCAGCTTTCGCGACTTTCCCGGCTCGATAAGTTCACAGCTGCGAGAAGTTCATGGCCGAGACATAAATACGAAGGAGACCATCTTCCGTGAAATCTCCTCTGCGCTTTTGGGGTTTTCGTCCGAAAGTACGCCGCAACATTCACATGAGGCATGTTGCGTAGAGATGGGCCGCCAACACAAACACAGGCGGGCGACACAAGCACATGTTTCTCTTGGCCGGGGTGATGCTTACACTCTATGGGAGGAATACCTCAAACACAAGACACTGCTTTGCCTTTTGTTCGTTGTTTGCGGCAGCTTATGTACATCGCGCGGGTCCGAGTGTCACTTCAGTCGCCGACGACCCAACCGGCCCCGGAGGTACTCGAAGCGCTCAATCTCGGGGCTCGGCTATCGCAATGGAGCGAAGGAAGGCGTGGTGCATCAGGGAAAGGCAGAGATGCCCATTGCCAGCTGGAAAAGGTTCGCGAAAACTGGACGGCTGGACTTGAACGTAGAAGAACCCATGGATCGTGTGCCGCTGTTCTAAGGGAAAAGTACCAATCATATCCTTCCTCCCCCCCTCCCCACCGATACGGAACCTGCTTTGAACCACGCCAAGAGCACGGCTGAGCGCGTCTCCAGCGACGGGGTTGGTGGGCATGAAGGAAAACGAGTTGCTGAGCTCGTTCTTCATCTGCTTTGGCTTCTTTCCTCTGACCCATGAGAGGTAAGCTCATCAAACCGTGGCAATAGTTATTTCGATCATGCGATTATGATGTACTTCGACTATTTGTTCCACATACAAGTCGTACCTCGGGGCGGACCAGTTTGGCACGTCCGAAGCCACCTGGGTTTTACTGGATACCCGTTCATTCGCGGTGGTTATTTGACTCCCCCGGGGGGCCAGTAATCGTTCCAAATGTACGGTTAACGCTCTTGCGGCTTCCGCCTGGTGCCGTTACAGCCTGGTCCGAGGTGCCATCATGGAAGTTGTACTCGTGCGGCCCGTCGAAGCTGAAGATGTCGCCCAAACAAGACCAGCGGGAGCTTGGGGTAACAGCGAGCCGCGGCAGGGTACCGATGCCGCTTCCACTTGCACGCTTTGGTGCGCGGTGGCAATCGGGGCTCTTGTACAGGGCCAGCCAACTGAGAGGGTGAGACTGGACCCGTTTTTCGTGTAGCGGACTGTTGCCGATTCGACGCACAGCATGATCGATGTGCCGACGCGAGTTCACGAAAGGGACGGGGCAATGAGACCCCTCAGTGAAGCAGGAGGTCAACAGGCAACCGCAGGAATAGTCCTCTGTTGGAAGCCAAACTCCTTCAGCGCAAGCTTGTGGCATGAGTCCCGTAATTGTGAGTCAGCACAACTTGACCCCGAGCTCTCCGCAACCAATCCTGGGTAATGCTGGCCCCACATGTCCGGTGCCCTCCGATGTGCACAGGTCACCGATTACCTAATCCTCGCGCGGACGTCGGTTTCGCACTGCTTCGATATGGTCACGGTGGAGACTGCTCGGTGAGAAATTACGGCAGCTGCAGCTCTGACGGTAGATGGCCATACATATGAATGAATGCAGCGCCTGGACGTCCACCGGCGGATGTCGGAAAATGACCGCAGGACGGAAACCGACAACAGTACTCGGAACGGCGATTGATATCTGGTCGTGGAAATGTTGAAAATCGGGCCGGGATACTCAAGGGGTGTCGATTTGCAGGATGATATCGTGTTTCCGTTCGAATGGGGCCAATGGCTCGGCTGATGGTTTCCTCAACGGCCCATTCCCCCCCGTCCTCTATCCGCCGCGTCTCGCACCCTCTCAGGGCTTTCATGATGATGGCTTACCTTTACAACTTCCTGCGAAATGAGGTGACAAATGGTTGGTTCTGTCGCGTTGCTCTCAGACGCCGACGTGGGGTTGATGCAACAGGCTCGGTGTGGTATTGCTCTCTCTTGTCCCTTTTTGCTTGGTGGGCGTCGTCGGAGATGGGAAATGCTAGCCACAACGTTTCCTGATCTGACCCGAGTTGTGCATGGCACGTTGCTTCGAGAAGAGTTGGTGTGAGCGGAGATGGCCATTTCGCGTGAGCAGAACGCACTTGTTGGGTATTGCCACGATGGTGCTCTCACCAATGTCGTGTTTCTCGCGTGCCGATCGTTGTATGGATTATGCCCCCATCCGCTCCCGCAGAAAATGTTTCAGAGGTATCTTGAGTTTGCCAGAGGGGTCATGGAACGGCTCCAGGACACTACGTCGCAGACACAGGTGACTGTGACGATACGCACTTCCCTGCGGTGGCGAATGGTCTTGGTTGCCATAGGATCTCGGGTGGCGTGCTGACCCCTTTGTAGCCCGGTTGGAACTGCACATGTGCTTACCCTTTGCTCTCGTTGTGTTGGTTCAATCTTGAGTTTCCCCATCTCGGTGCCGCTTGGTGGTCACTCCTTTCGACACATGGACCCTCAACAAGATCAGCTTCCTTCACTGCGGTTCATTAATTTCGTAGTCTAATGCAACCCATCACGTTTTTGTATTCTGTTCTACCCCAGCACACCTTATGTTCTTACTCGAGCATAGTTTTGCTGATTACGTAGATTCCTGGGGTTGGCTCCCTTTCGCTGTACGTGTGTCTGTTTGAGCAGGAACTCTACGACCTGCTGGCGAGAGGAGACGACACGAGGATTTTCCACACGGGTGCATTTGAGGCTGAGGAACTGGAAGCCTATTGTGTGGACAACGAAAAAGATCTGAAGGTTGCCAACCATTTGATTGACGTGTTTCAACTCGAAACGGGTCAAAGAAGGCTTTAGTTGTTGTTTTTCAACTACTAGCGGTGCATTTGCACGTCCCGAAACCAATTATTCATAGTCCACCTCCAAAAGCTCGCCCATTCCGCTGGCCCGCGAACTCACGTTGTATCGCAGTAAGTTCAACCGAGCGAACTAATATACCACCGTCGTCGCTCACGGTCGATCGTGTATTGAATGCCCTGTTAGCGACCCCCTCCCCAACCCCCCCCTCCGCTCGACGGTCGTACTCCTGACTCGTGGTGGCAGCTCCCCGACGTCATCGGCAAGAGGGAATTGTGCAGGTTGCTTGTCCAAACCGACAGGCGCTTGATCAAGGCGTACTTGAGAGATCACAGGGCACAAACAAAACGCCCCCTCGAGGGCCGCACTCTTAAACCCTCCTCCGGCCGGGAAGGCGAAACCCCGACCGAAGATGTCCTAAACGGAGGCGGTCAAAAGCAAGAAAGGCTCAACGGGGGGCCCAGAGGAGGAGGCAAATGGAGAAATGGTGCAACACGCGGCGGAGCAGGCGACGTTTCGGAGAAGAGTGACGAGATCGTAAGCTTCGCACCAATCGACACCACCAAGATGAATGATAAGGCAGAGCCAAGTCGACCGGGGGAGGAGACCCGAACGTGCCTCGGGGAAGCGCAGGTGGTTTTCTCGAGGCTCAAGACGACAGCAACAGAGTGAGTTCCGCCAGCATAGGCTTTGGCAACAGGAGATGTGAACGGCGCACGTTCGTCTGTGGATTTGTGCGGATCGGGGGTGTACTTGCACTTCTGCATGCTTCAACAGCGAACAAAAGATCGACCTCACAAGCAAGGATCGCTCTTGCTGTCCTCCTAGGCGCCGGCCGATACATGTGGCCATGCGTCGTTCTTTTGCATTTCCTTGATGTTTCTTGAATGTCACCGTGGATCTTTCCTTTTCTCACCAATTGGACAGCAGAGTTTAATTTCAACGCATTCACGGTTGACACTCCGTGTCTCTGGTTTTGATTCATCGGTGTTTCGCTCTTTCTCGCACCTCTTGCCAGCCCGGAGGTTGGCGTTGGGATCGGAGGCCTCATTTTCAACGCCATTTCGGCGTACCTGGACATTTCGACTGGTAGTACCAAGCTCGGCGCCGAGAAGGTTAAACTCTGCGCCAAGATCTTCGTGAGGTGGGCTGTTTTGTAGTCCTTACATCAATTCATTGAACTAGCGTGTCCTTCAGCACTAGGAAACCGGTAGTATCGCGGTGACAGACCCGAGGCCATGCGTGGGCTGCCTGAAGGCAGCACCTCGAACTGTGCAGGGTTGCTCGCCGTGATTTGATTTGGCGAATTCAACCTGAACCGCCTTGGGCGCCCGTTTCGCTGAGGTACATGTCGGAGTCGCGAAGTCGCCAGGCAGGTGACAGTCTCGCGGGAACGAATAAGATTTCTCGTGTCGCTCGTTGGGAGGTTTCTAGCTGCAAGTTGACACTCGATATTCGGTTGGACTACCAAACCGGGATTCAATCAATGTTGTTTTTTCATCCGCTCTTCGGCGGTCGATCGCTGCAACGTGCGTGGCGACCTACGTGAGGCTGCCGACAACCGTTCAGGACTGCATGTCCCCAACGTAGTCATGGACATCCCCGAACTACTGTAGGGCAGCCAGAGCTTATCGGATGATTCGACTTCGGTGATCGACACGTTGTCCCCTTCCTCAAGCTTGACTAAACTCCCTTTTGACGCTGCTTCCCTCGCGCGTTTGCAACAGGTATCCAGGACTCTGCCGCTTCTCCAGGTGGTGAGTCGGGTCGGTGGGCTGTTGAGGAAAGAGGTTTCTTCGGTGCCATAAAGTCGTTTGTGGTTCGGGCACGATCATGCTTCTTGGAGCTTTGCAGTGCCCTACTCTGGCGGCTGTAGGCTGCTCGATTCATGACGCTCTTCGGCTTGTGCATCTGCGTAGTCCGAACACATCGGAGATACCCGTGCCTAGCCGCGCTCTTGGTTTTCGTGCTTCAACGTCTTAGATTGCCGCCTTAGAGGCCTCATGAAATGAGCATTCAAGGGAGGTTCCTCACGGTGATGGCAAGGTCTGCTTCATTTGCTGACAATGGTTACTCCCCAACGAGACATTCGAGCTAGCAGATTCGTTTTGATACGTCGCCATGCAGAATGCCCCGGTGGAGAGAGCATCAGCCAACCACCATCACGCCGTTCGTGCCCCCTCGCTTTCTCGGCCCACAGGCAACACCTGTCTCACTGCCTGCTTACCGTGCTAGCTACACTCGAGGATGCCGAGCCTTTCGAAGAGCTGCGCCAGGTGTACAATTCGGTTCGCACCGAAGACCTTGTGGAGGTGCCCGAACAGCAGGCGTGGACCATGGTTGGCTTTTGCAACCACATCTTTTGCAGGTGGGTTTCTTTTGTGGGTTCCGCGCGTATCTCGCCGAACCGGTGCACAACGTGATCGCTATGACCAGCAGTGAAATTTGGTCGGAACACACCCAACCCTCTATTGCGTTCGTTTGGGAGGTTGGAGGTGAAGCACAGCCGCAAGCTACAGTACTTGAGAGACCGTGAGCAAACCTTCCGCTTTCCTCTGCTGTACAAGCGTTGGATCGCTTCTCTCCGACGATAGGACGTGGATTGATTTTGGCTGCCCCGGTGCAGCAGTAGTGCTGCAATTCACATGGGGCACACCTGACTCCGTGCCCATTTTCTGGCGCTCCCTGTGCTGCCGTTTAACGGTGCTGTGGTCATGATTCGATGTATGGCGTGATGAATATGCTCGTCCTTGGAAAGGTCTTTTCATGACCTGGGACTGAAAGCGACCAACACGACGGAGATGGAACTCGATCGCGGCACAGTTGGCGCAGAAGAGCAGCACAAGCTAGCATCACAAGAAGAAGGCGATCGCTGGGCATGCCCAGCCGCCACCACGGCTCCGAGTGAGTTTTGCCGGGATCAGGCGTGGCTAGGCATCAGGCCTGGCTGGGTCGAGGGTGAGCTCCCGGAGAGAGCCGGTGCCTCACCTACGGAATTTCTTCCGTTGGACTCCGTGGCAAGTGTCCACGGCGATCACCCGAGCAGGGAGCCAGAGGCTCGCACTCCCTCGGTTCTGTCGGCCGCTGGGTTCAGGGCGGCGTGTGACCGCGATGGTCACCGCACTCACGCTGGCGGGTGCTATCCAGCGCGCGGTGCCGTGGCAAACGATTCAGGCACCCTGGACGATCCTGGCGCTGTGGCACCGTTTCATTCGTCGTCTGGACCTTCGTGTACCGCAGCCTACCGCGCGCTGCCTAGCGCATGGCAGGAACATTCTGGGCTGGGTTTCCCGATACACAGCAGGCAGGTAGAACAACGACGGTCCACGACATGGCTTGGCTTCTATGGTGGAAGTGACGTGGCGATGCTGTGATCCACTAGGTGCACGGCAATCCATATCCATCGTTCCGGGGAGCCACGTCTCGACCGTTCCCAACAATGGACTCGGAGCTCGATGCACTGACCACATGGTCTGCACAGAAGAGGCTCAGGTCGTCGGTGGTACCAAGAAGAGTGGCACGTGGTGGACGGCGAGAAGCGAGAGGGGTAGTCGGTAGATCTTGTTTTCTGCCGTCGTTTTTGTCTCCGTTGTGGTGTTCCGTCTCTACATGACCGTTCTCGGTGCCCATTTAGGCTTGTACGCACGGCGAATGGAGGTCCTGGGGTGTTGGCTAGCGGATCTACCTGACGACATTGAATGTTTTTGTTTGCTGGGAAGGGTGGTACTCACTTGGTTTCATTGTTCCTGCTGTCTTTTGCTCGGATAAAGACGACGGTTGTTTGCCACGCGGTTGGAGCTTTGAAAATGCATGGGATTGTTTGGGAGATCGAATCCTATGGGAGGGGATTCGTCGAGTTATTGGCAAATTCGGCTATCCCCACACCTACCAGAGCAGAAGATATATGACATTTGTTTTGGCACTGATGTGGGAAATGGTGCCTACACACAATTGTCTGCGGTTGGTCAAAAAGGAAATGCTTGGTGAAGCTGAACATTGCATTCTCTCTGGGATTTGCAGCGCCGGTTGTAATCTTCAGAGGACACGTAAGCGTGAACACCATTTGTTCTATTTGGTACTGCTTTTGATGCGTGCTCTCCCGACCAGACGTTGTGTTTGGCTGTCTTCTGGGAATGTCTCGCCGGTTGTATTTTTCAGAGGACACGCATGCGTATACACCGTTTGTTCTACTTAGTACTGCTTTTGTTGCGTGCTCTCCCGACCAGACGTTGTGTTCGGCGTGTCTTCGGCGAGCATGTAGATGCAACAAAGCTTCGGTGGTGGTGCACCTTGTGTGACAGTGTAAGTAGTTCACCAGGCCAGGGCCCCGCGCAGATTCTGAAGCCCGCCTTGTTCTCTCTCCTCAGAAGTAAATGTGACGAGCGGCACACCGCTGGTCGTATAGGCCGTAGAGAGTGTGCCAGGTTGGCACACGCGTTTCTTTTTTCAGGAATGATTGATGGAGATGTGGGGGTTGCCGACACGGGTACACGAAAAAGCCGGTTGATGTACGGACAGTTGCACACCGCGCGAAAAAGCAACGTGCGTAACCGGTGCCGACAGTCGTGCTTGGCAGTGCTGGCCTTCTACTACTAGAGAACGTAATTTCTTGGTTGTATCAGCACGATCTGGTTGAATCAGCACGATCTACACGAGCAAGTGGAAATACCATGAGAGTCGGAAAGATGGCATTGCGATCATTTTTAATGTGTTTTCTTGTTTTTTTACGCATCCCGGTGCGATGTCTCCGACCGGTGCGGATATTCCCCAATCGCAAATTGGGGTTTCAATCAGCGCTATTAGCGTGATCCCACACGGGGGTGTCAATCAACACTGCTGTGTCCTACACTCACTACTGTGCACATTGCTGTGTATCCCACACTGATCGGAGGGGCACGAAGTCATGCACCCAACTCACATGTTTGTAAAGTCAAGCGATCTTTGAATGGGTTCTTGGGTTCTCGCCCAAACAAGGCAATTATTCACACGTCGGATAGATCACGATCTAGATGATCTGTAATTTATAGATCAAGGTTTGGACGTATCATAGATGATCTGTGGAGTATAGATCAAGAGCACGCAGGTATCACAGATGATCTATGGCTTATAGATCAAGAGCGGCAGATATGTTCGGATCAATCTGTGTCTATAGATCAACATTCGGAAATATCACAGATGATCTATGGATTATAGATCATGTACAGCAGACAATGTACAGATCTATCTGTNTATCACAGATGATCTATGGATTACAGATCAAGAGTCGGAAATATCACAGATGATCTATGGGTTATAGATCAAGAGTCGGAAATATCACAGATGATCTATGGGTTATAGATCAAGAGTCGGAAATCTCACAGATGATCCATGGATTGTAGATCAAGAGCGACAAACACGTTCGAATCTACATGTACATATCCGACCTACGGATCAACACCAACACTCGAGAATGTCAGAAATAATCTGTGGTCCTGTGGCCTACATTCAAGAGCTAAAACATACATGTTGTTGCTGTCTTCACATGCAAAACTGTTCCGTTCTCTGT